TCTTATATACATGGAGATATTAAATGATAGCCCCCCGACAGCTTTGCTGATATGTTGTGTCTAGTTTGGCGTTTGACTAGAGTAAGAAGCCTTTTATTATTGTTATTATTTTCATTAGTATTAGTCCTAATGCTGCTTGCATGGTTGAGTGTCACTCTCTCCATTGGGACAACCTATGGTAAAATAAAGTAGGGTAGAATAGCAAGTCTATTATATTTCATTTACTACATGCAGACACTATGCTAATTGCTCATAGATAATCTCTCATCCAATATTTATAACCATTCAGGGAAGTATTATTATTTCTGTTTTATAAACATTGAATGCAATTCATAGAAAACTTAGAACCATTTTAAGGTCACAGAATCGTACAGCTTATAAATGGCAAATCTGAAACTCAGAGCCACTTCTTATTCCAAAGCCCCTGCTTTCGACCACTAATACAAACACTGAAATCTTTCCATGATACTGCCAACCCAAAATGCAACTCCATCCTCTACTGAGCAAAAAACTCTGGTTTTCAATTAAGTGCAAAAGTCCATGAAAATTAAAGCATGCCAAGACCAGTAGATGATGTAATGGTTAATCACGAGACTCGCACATAGTCAACCACAGTTCAAGTCCTGAACCTGGTGACTTAAAATTCACACCAGGTGCATGTGCATGCACGCCCAAAATCCCAAAAGGAGAATGGAGGAGAAGGGATTGCAGTGTGACCATTCCCGCTGGAATGGCTTTTTGTTTCTCTGTCTCTTTTTGTCACTATGGCAAGCACATGTACTCTATAGCAAAAAATCTCTCAAATAAATAAATAAATAAAGCATGCCTTATTCCTGTCATTCTCATATCAGATTTCCAAACTAGAATGGTATTCTGAAGAAAATATGTACCTTCTTTTCTTGTATCTTCTATATACAAGGCACTATCCTAGAAACCAGAACTATTTCAGTGAACATAATCAACCAGAATCCTTTCTCCCTCTATTTTAATATCTTTTGGGAATAGACATTAAATCATAAAATAAATATTGTTAGGCCAGTAGGTGGCATAGTGATTAAGGCGCTGGACACCCACATAGTCAACCACAGTTCAAGTCCCAGACCTGGTGCTTGAAAATCATGCTGGGTGCATGCATGTACATGCATCCCCAAGATCCTGAGAAGAGAATGGAGAAGGGATTGCTGCATGATCATCCTCCCAAGGGGCGATTTCTCTCTTTCTGTCTCTCTGTCTCTCTGATGAGCCCACACCTCCTATAGCAAAGGTCTCTAAACTCAATAATAAAATAAAAAATAAAAATATTGACATGCTAAGAAGAAAGAATATGGGATGGATAAATAATTATAATAGTAGAGCCTGACCTGAACTGGAGGGTCACTAAAGTTTTTACCAAAAAAAGACATTTTAGCTGAGACCTGAAGATAAGAAGAACAAACCAAGAGAAAAGAAAGAATAAGGACACAGCAAGCAGAGAAAATAAGACTCAGGGTCACTGTCAGGAATAGGAACTGGCTGTCCCAATGCTAGAGACTGAGATGTTTTCCTGACACCAGACCATCAAAAGCAGCAGATTCAGGACTTGTCTGCAAGCCCTATCCAGCTGATATCTCCAAGAAGCCAGCAGACTTCTATACTAAGTTTCAATTTTGATGCCCCCGATTCTTGTACCAATTAACTGAACTTACCGAATTCCTCAGGGTAGCCAGTATCACCTAGATGTGTGTCAAATTGCAATCCCTTGAGCCTTTGCCTATACAGTGTCCTCGAGGTAAATTGGAAAAATATCTCCTCTCTTGGCATATCATCAGATACTACTGTTTCCCAGGAAAACACAGCCACATGTCAGGATTCATAACATGGCTAAGAGAGGGCATTAGATGTCACTCCCCACTAGGCCCTTGGACAACCACAGTGCTCAACTGCAAGCAATGGCCCTACTAGCAAAAGTCCAGCTGGCTGAGAGCATCCTTATATGGGGCACCATTTCTAGATGGCAACCCTCTGTATAAAAGACATAGGGCCAGTGTGCTCTTGAGAAGATAAGCGGAGGCTTGGAAAGGCTACTCCACACAAGGCACAAGCCACACAAGAGCTGCCTGATTGATTTCAAAAAGTTGTTTGAGGTCTAGGCCGGTGGTGCAAGCAGGAAGGCATTGCTGAGTGACAGGTAAGGCTGCCTGGGAGGCCTGAGTTCAATTCCTGACTTAATCTAAAATAGGTCTAGCATGTGCGTACCATGGTCTTAACATACTGGGGAAGCCGGGGGCAGGAAGACATAAATATGGCAAGACTTTGTAAAAAATGACTCTCTCTATCTTTTCCTTGCTCACAAAAATGACATTTTAATTAAAAGTAGTTTGGGGCCTTCGAAAAAGTACTGCCTATGGAATAAGAGGCCTTGCCCTGGCTTTGGTTCTAATACATTGAACAAACCTCTTTCTATACCTCAGTTCATTTTCCTATTTATAAATTGTTCTTCTGATATTCACTGCATATAGATTTTTATCAATATATAGATTTTGGTAGCCCCAAGCCTTGTACCAATTAACTGAACTTACCTCATTCCTCAGAACAGCATCACCTACACCTATCAGCCAAACTGCATCGCTTTGAGCGTCCATATCCAAAGTGAGGGTGTTTGATCCCTGAGATAGATTAGCAGCATCTCAAACAAAACATTCCATGTTACCAAGTGTAAATGAATTTAATCCTATCGACTACTTTCTTTCCTTTTCATTTTTTCTAAATGTGGTAAGGCAAACTTCACTCATTGGCGGCCATTGTTATAGGTGTAAGGACACTGAAATTTTGGAGTATTGCAGGGAGGGAGACAGATTGAACTCAACTCCCATACTTTTTATACTTTTTTTTTTTCCTATTTGTTACATCCCTTGGATAATATGTGTTTAACTCTAAAACAATACTCTTACCCTTAGGAAGCCTAGAGTCTAGAGGTGAAGATGTTTGAAAAGGCACCTATGAGGCACATCTGGTTCTCTGCCTGGAGAAACCAGAATAAGCTTCCAGAGGCAGTGAAGTAACAGCTGAGAACAGGACCAAGCAGAATAGAAGGCTCTTCGCTTGAGGATTTGGAAGTAATAGACCACTCTATCTCAAACAAAACATTCCATGTTACCAAGTGTAAATGAATTTAATCCTATCGACTACTTTCTTTCCTTTTCATTTTTTCTAAATGTGGTAAGGCAAACTTCACTCATTGGCGGCCATTGTTATAGGTGTAAGGACACTGAAATTTTGGAGTATTGCAGGGAGGGAGACAGATTGAACTCAACTCCCATACTTTTTATACTTTTTTTTTTCCTATTTGTTACATCCCTTGGATAATATGTGTTTAACTCTAAAACAATACTCTTACCCTTAGGAAGCCTAGAGTCTAGAGGTGAAGATGTTTGAAAAGGCACCTATGAGGCACATCTGGTTCTCTGCCTGGAGAAACCAGAATAAGCTTCCAGAGGCAGTGAAGTAACAGCTGAGAACAGGACCAAGCAGAATAGAAGGCTCTTCGCTTGAGGATTTGGAAGTAATAGACCACTCTCCTTTGAGAAATCCACAACACAGGAATTAACCAGTGTCCACCAGTGGATAGATGATTTTTTTTCCAAATGTGGTATTTTACACCATGGAACACTGGTCAGCCTTTCACAAGAAGGGAATCATGGACAGGTTCTGTAGCACAGCAATTAAAGTCTCCGAATAGGTAGCTGGATCCCACATGACTGACAGTGTTTCCAGTTCCAGCACAGCAGCTTGATAAACACACCAGGTACATGTGCATGTGTGTCCAAAATTCTGACAGGATGGAGAAATGAAAATTATTGTGGTGTGAACACACCGCGTTGAGGGGTGCTTTCCCTCCCTCTCTGGCAAGTGTACAAACCCTCTGACTAGGAAAAACAAATGAATTTAAAAAAAGGAAATCTTGTTATTTATAAAAACATGGATGAATCTGGAGGACATTACGTTAACTTTGGAAATAAACCAAGGACACAAAGACAAATGCTCTACCACATGATCGCATTTATATCTGGAATTTAAGAAGTCAAACTCACATCATGAGTTTGGAATGGTGATTCCCAGAGGCTGAAGGTGGGGGTAGGAACTAAGGTGATGTTTGCCAAAAGATACATTTCAATTAGAAAGAAGAAATAACCTCAAGAAATTTACTATACAATATACCAACAATAGTTCATAACAATGTACAGTATAAACATAAATTGCTAAGAGGTCATAAGCATTCTCACCACAAATAAATAGGTATGTAAGTTACATGTATTAGTCAGCTTGATTTAGCCACCCTAAAAATCTTTTCATATTTTAAAACATTATGTTGTACACAACACATATGTACAATTTTCCTTTGTCAACAAATAAACACATCCACAGGAAGTGAAGAACAGAACTATTAAGATAATTAGTTCTCAAACAAGAGAGTCAAGAGTTCTATAGGACAGACGATGAAGCAACAAGCTATCTGGAGTAGGATTGAATGGTTATCATGGAAGTTTCACAGAGAAGGGTCAATTGAACCTGAATCTGAGGAATAAGTAGAAATATTCCAAGGGGAGAAGAAAGAACATGAACAAATATGTAGAACAGGAATTTAGGGCAAAGCACAAGGAAGGAAGCAGAAGGTACAGGAAATCTGCCAATCGGACTTGCTGTTCACTCTCAGCACTGAATAGAAATGCTGCCTGATGGCCGTCTAATCATCAACACCTAGCATTGGAACCACTCCCAAAAGACTCAACAGCCCAGTACCATTTTAGATAATCTTAGATATACTAACAGGGTTACTTTTTCCCATATGAAACATTTTTGGTTTAAAAGATGGGGCAGGGCTCATTACTAGAGATCCAAGAGCAAGCTGTGCAGACAACTTGTGCAATGATCCAAATTCCAGAGCAGATGATGTCACTTATATATGCCTTATAAATGGAGCAAAGCTTCAGATGCATCTGAGCAATTTATCTGCATCAATACCTCGTGCTACAAGAATGGCTGGCTCAGTGCTTCGGTTGACAATTGTTCTGGGACTGCTCGTTTTAATCCTAACCTGCCTTGCTGGTAAGTGCTTTTGATTACAGCCTATGAACTGTGCAGTAGTTAGCCCTGATTGGAGGAAGTTGGTGGCATTCATCCAGAACATAAAAGAGAGAGAAGCCTTTGGGTACCACAGAAAAAGCACTGGACAGAGAGATAAGTATATCTTCTAACACAAAAAAAGTTAAGATTATTTTCGTTAAAATTTCTTTCAGTTATAACTCCTTTTGTCCGTGGATATAATTGAAGTAGGCTTTTTTCCTTACATATTCACATGATATAGAGTATTAATGAAGTATGGATTTTTTTTCGTATATAGTCACATGGCATAATAACACTACTATGTTATAAGTTCTTTGGGACCTGGTTAGTATTTATTTTTGATGACTATAACTAGTAATGTTCAATAATGACAGATACATACTTTGGAATAACACTCTTTGGCCTAGATACACCATTAACCACACATGTGATTTTTTTTTTCTTTCTTTCTTTTTCTTTTAATTTTTTTTTTGAGAGGTTTTTGCTATAGGGCATGTGCGCTCGCCACACAGACACAGAGAGACATAGAGACAGAAAGCGAGAAATCACCCCCCAGGGGGGATAGTCACACCACAATCCCTTCTCCTCCATTCTCCTCTTAGGATCTTGGGCACGCATGCACACGCACCCGGCATAAGTTTTAAGCCACCGGGTCCGGGACACGAACCGCAGTCGACTATGTGGGAGTCCAGCGACATAGCCATTACGCTAACTGCTGGTTCCCCACATGTGATTTTAATAGCCATGTCATTTAACCTCTCTGGGCCTCATATATCAAAAGGAATACTAATAGGGAACCAGCAGTTAGCATAATGGCTATGTCGCTGGACTCCCACATAGTCGACCGTGGTTCGCGTCCCAGACCCGGTGGCTTAAAACTCACGCCGGGCGTGTGTGCGTGCGTGCCCAAGATCCCCAGAGGAGAATGGAGGAGAAGGGATTGCGGCGTGACCATCCCCCCTGGGGGGTGATTTCTCGCTTTCTGTCTCTATGTCTCTCTCTGTCTGTCTGTCTGGCGAGCGCACGCGCCCTATAGTGAAAAAAGCCTCTCAAAAAAAAAAAAAGGAATACTAATAGTTAACTTTCTCAATAAGTTATCATATTAAATTAAAAAGACAAATCGGAGCCAGCAGGTAGTGTGGAGATTAAGGTGCTGGATGGATCCTACATGGTTGATTCCATGGTTCGGGTCCTGGACCTAGCATTTTGAAATTGAAGCCAGGAACATGTGCATGTATGCCCAAAATTTCAAGAGGAGACTGCAGGAGAAGGGATTGCAGTGTGGTCATTCCCCGCTGGGGAGTGATTTCTCCCTCTCCTCTCTTTCTCTCTCTGGTGAGCACATGCACCCTATAACAACAACAACACATATGCGTATACCTATACATATTGGAATAGTTCCTAGTCAATAATAAACCCCAATATACGTTAACCATATTGCTATCAAGCATAATCTTATTTGGTTCTCATAATAATCCTATTACATGAATATACAGTTTTATCATTTTCCTGCTTACGGGTTAATAAACTGAGTTTGCAGAGGAAAGTTTATTTGAGCATTGATACACATGGATATGGCACCTGGGAGTCAAATTTAAGTTCTTTCCACTTTAACTAAACTTCTATTTCTTGAATGTCTGGTGCAAGCACATAGAGGAACAAGACAGCATACCACATTCTCATTAATTAATATACTTTTTGCTTGCAGAAGATTGTGAGCTCTTGACTTGTCTCCATTCCTAATGATAGGTCAGAAAATGTAGACAGTGCAAATATTTAGTAACAGAGTCCTATGAACATAATTTGGCAGAACTCATACCCTTAGGCTACAATGAAATGGAATTACTCTAGAGCTGGCCACAGAGATGGTTATGTCCATTCTCCTCCTTTAGTAATCACTTTAACAGTAGAGTGAAGAATGAGAGCCTAAAGACCAGTCTCTGCTCCCTTACAAACTCTGAAAGTGAGGTTAAATAAATTTACTAATTTTTTTTTTGAGAGGTTTTTGCCATAGGGCGTGTGCGCTCGCCAGATAGAGACAGAGAGACAGAAAGCGAGAAATCACCCCTCAGGGGGGATGGCCACACCGCAATCCCTTCTCCTACTTTCTCCTCTCGGGATCTTGGGCACGCATGCACATGCGCCCGGCATAAGTTTTAAGCCACCGGGTCCGGGACTCGAATCGCGGTCGACTACGTGGGAGTCCAGTGACATAACCATTACGCTAACTGCTGGTCCCAATAAATTCACTAATTTTAACCTAAATTTTGTGATCTATAAAATAGGATAACTATCAAATTTACCCAGCCAAATGAACATTCATTTATATTCTTTGTGTGAACTCTGAAGACTGTATAAATATCAGTAATACTGTATTTGTTCAGAACTTTATAATTACATTGAGTAAGGAACTCAACCAAGCAGAAAAGCTATCTTATATTTGAAAAGAGAACATTTTTAACTATTGGTTTTGATCATTTCTTTCTAAGATATCAAGTTTTGATAATGGCTCTTTTTAAGTTTTCATAATCTTCTAAAGGATAAAGTGAAATTATAAGTCGTGTTGTTGCCCATATTATTAATAATAGTAATGATTTTACAGTAAATATTTATTGTGAACTTATTTGGGGACTGGTACTGTGAAAATTGGTTTATAAATGATATAAACAGTTATATGCACATGTGAAATATATGCAAAAGGTATATAAAATATCTCAATCCTGACAACACTACAAAGTGGAAACTGAGAGCGAGAGTAATTAAGCATTGTCTGTAAGGTTACGTGACTGATTTTTTGTTGAAGACAGAAATCAAACTCAAGTCTGGGGCACTTCAAAGAATGTGATCCACCACACTCCTCTCAATATATATGTGGCCCATAGGCTGAGACCAAGTATCTGGTTTCACGATCCAATCCCGATCTCCATGCATACTGAAATGCTAGCATTTAATGTCATAGTAAAGTAAAAAGTCAATAAAATTCAGTTGTTGTATAAGTAGGTAGTTAGTAATGCAGAAAAGAACCCACAACTTCTATAAAAGGAATTACTGTTTTATACTTGGAAAAATGTCTTCAGACCATAGTTGCTCAGAAATAGTATTGCATCAGGCCAGCCCACAGGATGGTGGTTAAGGCAGCTGTGTTCCACATGGTAGACTGTACAATCAGAACCCTAGACCTGGAGGCTTGAGAAATATGCCAGTCGTGTTTGTGTGTATGCCCAAAGTCTTAAAGGAGAGAGAGATGGAGAGCATGTGATTGAGGCATGACCATTCCCCATGGCAAGGGCAGGGGTGCGTTCATACACTCTCTAGATAAGTGCTGAAAAAGTGAGTCATTTTACTTTCCTGAGCATCTGTGCTCTTGACTCTGCTGGAATACCATCACTGAGCTGAATGAGTATTAAGGCGTGTAATGGAAGCAGTCGCCCATGCCTGTACAATAGGCACCCCACAAATGAGTTCCATTTCTTCTCTTTCCCACAATGAAGACAAACAAATTCTTCTGGGTGTATGGTTGCTCAGCACTTTATATGACATCTATATTCATCCTTTGCAATTTTATCTTTTAACATAGTATACAAATAATGATGCTCTCAAAAAATTATTTTTGAATGAAAGAATCAAAAGCTGAATGAATGACTACTTGATAATAATTAATACACTGATTATAGGCCCTAGACTGATGTTCCTATCATCCTATCAAATCTGTTGTAAAATAATAGACAAAAAAATATTTGCAAAATTATGTGATAATATTTTTTTACTAACAAATTCTATTTCAGAACGTGACATAGATGCAAGGCTTCTAACATAATTTGACAACCTCTGTACAAAAAGCTAGTTATATCTTTTCTTTTAGAGTAGTAGGGTACATTGCCTAGAAGCTGGAAATTCTTTTTGTTGTTCAGGATACTGAACATAAGTGTATACAAAACAGAGAGAAAGAGAGAGAGAAAAAGAGAAGAGAGAGAGTCACTGTCCACTGTTTCTGGTCATGAATACCCTCTATCTCCTGTCCTCCATTTTGCCAGAATCCTTGATGAACATGTTTCAGGCTGACCAGGATCTTGAGCTCCAATCAGCATGTGGCCTCCAGCACCATAGTCTGAAATGAAATCATGTTTGCCACAGATGGTGGATCAAAGTTGGAACTTCTTGAATCAAAACACGTGGTGGAGTTGCCCAATAAAATACACACAAGATACCCAGTTAATTTTGAATTTCAAGTAAACAATAAATAATCTTTTAGTATATGTCCTAAATATTGCATGAGTCATTATTATGCTATAAAAATATTAATTGTGTATCTGAAATTTAAATTTAACTGGGCATCCTGAATTTTTATTTATCAAAGCTGGTAACATGTCAGGTTATAAATAAAATACTTCATCTTGTCACTGGGGTCCGATGGGGTGACCACATAAAGCTGCTGTTACTCTTCTATTCCTTCTCATCTCTTGACAATAAAGACCATTAAGTAAAGCTAAAACACCCCAAAGGACCCTGCACGTATCCAGCCTCACTCCCTGGGTTCTTATCCCTCATTCCAAAGAGTACTTGATTAAGAGTCAAGTGTAAAAGCCCTACAGTTAAGTCCCATCTTCTTCACTTCCTTTTCTTTGTGAGACTTTTGTAAGTTGCTTAATCTTTTCAGTTTCTCAGTCCAGTAAACTAAAAAGACATACCCTGTAAGATTGATCAGGAGTAAAATTACATTGCATTTGTAGAATCATTACTTACAAAACCACTAGATGATACCAGAGACAATGTGGGAGGCGGGTGGGACATGGCAGAGGGTGAGGGGTAGGGAATCAAGGATGGCAAAACAAAAAACAAAGTATACAAGACATAAGAATTGGAAAATTATTTGCTGATAACATGTATGTTGATGTGCTTGATTGAGCCAATATACAGTGTATTTTGGATGGAAAATTCATTTGTATGCTGTAATGATGTATAGTGAATTAATGTAAAAAATAAATAAACTTAAAGAGAAAAAAAATAAAGGTTTGACTCACTTAAAAAAAACCACTAGGTGATAAATATGTGGTAAAATTTATCTTTGTCATCATTGTTATCATACTATTTTCAAACTTACAAAAGAAGAGCAAACTGTCTAACTTCTATGCAGAAAGACTATTCAACAGAGTACTTAAAAACAGAGTTTAGTACTAGACAGACATGGGTTTTCATTACATTTCTACCACTTATAAACTCTGTAACTGGGAAGCAGCTTCTAAAGCACTTTCAAATTCCATTTCTTTACCTTTACATTGTAATAATTTTGCCTCTCTCACAGAGTGGTATTGAGGATGAAATGAGACAATGCATATATGGATTGTGTGTTTTAGATGTGAGCTCAAAAAATACCATGCTCTGGGACCAGCAGTTAGCATAATGGCTATGTCACTGGACTCCCATGTAGTCGACCGCAGTTCGCGTCCCAGACCTGGTGGCTTAAAACTCACACTGGGCGCATATGAGTGCATGCCCAAGATCCCGAGAGGAGAATGGAGGAGAAGGGATTGCGGCGTGACCATCCCCCCTGGGGGGGTGATTTCTCGCTTTCTGGCTCTTTGTCTCTCTCTGTCTGTCTGGAGAGCGCACACACCCTATAGCAAAAAACCTCTCCAAAAAAAAAAAGAATACCACACTCTGATATTTCATCTTTATTATTATTACTGTAGAGATATTACTTATAAAAACAGACACTCCACATTACAAGGAATTCTATATGGCAGGGAGCACTAGGCACTCTGTATTTCAACCTTGGCATCACATTTATTAGCTCCCAATTTCTGGGAAATGTCCTCAGCTCCTGTGAGTTTCAGTTCTCTCCTCCACAAAATGAAGCCAACATCTATCTAAGCATCCGCGTTTCTTGGTCTGTTTACTTGATTTTATGAGTAAGTGAGATAATGCATGGGAAGACTTTAAGTAGGCACTCACTCAGTATCCAATAAATAGAACTATAGAACTTTAATAGAACTTTAGGGAGTGGGAATATTAGGGTTCTGAGAAATTCTTAAGTGGGTAAGACTTCCCTCATTGCTGAGTATCACCTCTGAGATTCTGTTCTATTTACAGATGACAAAAAAGATGACAAGCCTGATGAAAAGCCAGCTGACTCGGGCAAAAGCCCAGAGCCTGAGTTTCCCAAGTTTCTAAACCTCCTGGGCTCAGAGATCATTGAGAATGCAGTCGAGTTCATCCTCCGCACCGTGACTAGGACCTCGTAAGCACTGAGACGAACCTTGCTTTTGTCCAGTTGACTGTTGGTAATGACCACACTGCATTAAAAATGAATGAGAACCAACATCTGTGGCACATCACAATGTATTCATTTTATTGAAAAATGTTAGCCTACCTTAAGATGTATTTTGGATCTGAATGAGTTGCCCTGAACTGTTTAGGTGAATACATTCCCACCAAGTGGGAGATAGAGAACTAAACTGGGGCACAGAAGCCAAGTTCTAGTCTTGACTCATTTGATTCATGTACTATTTACTGGGTGGTCCTGAGTAGGGGCCTTCCTCTCTGACTGCTTCTGTTCTTTCATCTGTAAAGCTTAAGGAATGACAGACCCACCCAATGCAAGCACTGTGACTATGTGGCTAAGGAAAAGGGTGGTGATATCCTTATTAGCCATAGATGTGATGAGTCCTGTCTTTATTTTCTAGCTTGAGTAGTTCAAGAGGGTTAGTAGAGACAACAGATAATCTCTTAGACTGTCTAGAGAACCTCTTAGAATGAATGCTTGTTTAGATCACAAAGGATTGCTTTAGTGGTAGATAGCCCATTCCAGAGTCTTCCCAATGATGTCATCCTCTTTCCAAGCCCTTGTGCGCCCATTCTTAATACATCTTACTTCAGTTTACATAGTTCCGATTTTTACACTATTACATCATGCTTTTTTTCATTCTGCCCTCCATATTAATCTTCCCAATTTCAGTTCTTCAGGATCAAATTCATTTTTCTGAACTTCCAGACACTTTCAAACTCTGACAGTCAAAGTTTCTGATCTCTTAACGTGGTCCTTCATACCCACCTGAGCATAGTTTGATAAAGTGTGGTCTATTACTCACTTGCTTCAGACTCCCCTGAAGAACTTATTAAAAATACAGATTTCTACATCCCACCTTGCATATTCCTGGGCATGCTGTCCAACATGCTGTCCAGGTGATTCTAATATACAGTAAATTTTTGATCAGAGGCATTGGACAACATGAATGGACCCTAAATTTTCACATAACCTTCACATTTTTATTCATATTTTGTGTCGATGTGAAGTTTTACATTTTTCTTAAAGATCTAGATTCTTAAAGGAACCAACAACAGGTTAAGAACCACCTCTATGTAGAAGTAATCAGAGGACATCTTGTAATCTTTGATCTGCTTAACTCAGTATATTATCATCTGGTTGGGTAAGGTTCTGCATCCAATCCTCCTCCACAATTGTTAAAATTCACAGATGTTTCTTATTTATTGTTACAGTTCCTATTGTGGTTGCTTTTGCAATTGTTGCCTTTCTATGACTGTTAATGTAAACTGAAAGAAAGTAATTAAAGTAATAATGGGATTATGCCACTTATTGCAGAGGAAGTACAGATTGGACTTCAGTTGAATTAATGTTGTTATGTTAATAACACAGCAAAGTGTAGACTTGGAAAAATAATAGTTCTTTTTTATTTCTTCCCTAGGGAATTTTCAGGATATAAAATAGCACATTTTTCTCTGTGTTAACCATGAAATTTGAGTATTTGATATACTAAAACATTGCTGTCAGCTTCAGGCTCAAAAATGACAACTCATCTTCTACCATTTTCTCTTTATACTTTTATTATATTCTAAGTAAACAGCCTTCTTTCTTCTTGTAAAATAATTATTTCATTTTATTTATTATTGCTATTATTTTTTAATTTGCAATAGGGCACATATGTTCACCAGAGAGAGACAGAAGGAAAGTGAGAAAGCAAGCCACTACATCGGGAAATTGAACCATGGTTGGCCATGTGGGAGTACAATGCCTTCACCACCACACCATCTACTGGCCCCAGTCTTCTTTCTGTTGATTGAACTTACAACCATGTCAGACTCTCTGCCTATGCTCTCCCTTCTGTATAAAATGCTCTTTCCTTTTCCCATAACTAGTTTTTATCCCCCAGCTCATTTAAATGTTACAGTTTCAGACAACTATTCTATGATCTCTCTTAATGCTATATTCTTCCACTCCCACCCTTTGTTATTTTCTGTCATTTTACCTTATTGTAGTATTACTATAACATTTGTTGCCATCTGAAATGATTTCTTTTTAATCATGTAACTAAACGAAAACGTGACCAAATAGATCTTTGGGACTGCTATAGTATAGTATCAAATACTCTGTAAATAATGGTTGGATTAATAAGGAAAGAGTTCTTAGAGATCAGCTCTAAAACCCACCTCCTACAAACTGAGGAATCCTGAAGAACCTTCGCTCATAGACACAGCAGTCCTTGCTCAAAACAAATCTAGCTGATGGTATAACCAAGACCTAAGACATACCTGTGACTCCCTGTACAAGAAAAGACAACAAATGTAATGGTGATGGAACATGAGAGAAGATCATTAAAACAATTGCCAAGTACTTTATACAAAGCAAGGACAGGAGTTGTAAAGGGAAAATCTAACCACAAATCTCTTCTCCTCAAAGAATTTGCAGTCCCCAGGGTGAAATGACATGATTCGTGCATTGATAACTAAAAATGCCTAGCAAGCTAAATGTTAGTCAACCATCCCAAGCAATTTCTAAAGAAAGGAGCTGTCAAGAAGGCCAGTCACTTAGGGCAGTGTTTATGACATAGTTGAGATGTAATTTGGGTTTTAAAGGATTCAAAGAGATTAGATTCAAAAGGAAAAATGCAGGGATTGATGGAGATTCATAAAGATGGAAATTTTGTTTTATTTATTCCAGTATATCTGATGCCTAAGTGACAGGAACATAATAAATGCTAGATGTATGCATTGGAGTGTGAACATTTAGATACTGAACAGGGCAAGGGGCTCTCTCCTCTTGCTTTCTAGATCACCTTGGAGCTATGCAGACTGCATTCTGCTTGCCATTGCTCTAAAAAATGTATATATCTGTAAGTCCTTTCACCCTTTCAAGAACCCTAATTCTTGTGACTATTTTCCCTTTTAGGTTTCTATGACATATTGTCCTGTTCCTCTCTCTGCCTCTAGCCATTGTTTCTCATCCTGTGTATTTGACTTCTCTTGGTGCACCTGCCATTTAAATATCATTGTTCAATATGCCGGGTTTTTCACATAGCAGCTTCCATATTGGAAATACGGAATATAACCTACTGAGTTATGAATTCATATTTTTATTGCACTCTTCTCGAGGTCCAGACTGAAATGATTAATTACTTGTTCTAGCTAGTTTTTCTACTAATTCCTGAAAGTCAGCTGATATGAATTCATATATACCATTTCACTTGAAAGTTTGCTTCTCTTTATTTCAGTCAGTTATATTACCACCCCCCGGAGTCCAGATACCACAAGATCTTCTTCAATCCTTCCTGCTCATCATCACCTTCATCCAATTGCTAGATATTCTACCCTAAATTATTTTCTTACATTATCTCTTTTTATCAACTCCACTGACTACTTGGTCTAGTTAACTCTTTCATCATCTCATTCCTGAGGGGTTCTTTTTTTGCATTATATTTCTAGTTAGTTTCACTGTTTTATGTCTCTCCTCATTCCAGTCTATCCTTACCTACTCCCAAAATGATATATCAGAAATGCACATTGGTCATATCAATCCCATGCTTGAAAATCTTTCATAAATGTTCTTTACCTGAAAAATCAGAGCAAATGCATTAGACTGATGATGAATACCTACTGAAGGCAATGTGCCTAGTAGGCATGTCTTTCTGCCACATCTCACATCCCTACAACCAACACCTGATACCCTCCAAGATAAATTATTTTTGTTAGAAGAGCAATGATATGAATGTACGTATCATAAGAAATCTGTCCACATGCTTTTTCTTCAGCCAGTAGTGCCTAGCCTCTCAACCCAATCACACTCAGTCCTAATCCCACTTAGTTCTCCTGGTAAATCTAATCTAAAATCCAATTAACAATAACAACAACAACAAAACTCTGTAAGAGAGTCACAGACCTTAACAAAGAGAAAACTCATTTTTTTCTGCTCAGGAATTTCAAACTGTAGAAATGATCCTATCTAGCTTTCCCTCCAATATTGCTTTCAGTTCCTTGAATCTCACTATATCTATTAACTCCACTGGAGTCTAAATCTCTTCATCAACCATAGTTTTGCCATGTTTGACCTTCTCAGCAGCTACTCCAGCACCCAGCCCTTGAGCAGCAGGGTACCACGTTTCTGGTAATTTAGTAATTACTTTGGAGATAATAGTTCGAAGCTTTGCTTGTGATTTATCAGCTGTGTCATTTGGACAGATCTCTTCATTTCTGGGTTTTAGAGGGAGTTTGTTCACATGTGAAAAGAGATCATAAAAACTTATTCAACAAATGTTTGTTAATTTCTACTATATACCAGGCTCCGTTCTAGGTTCTGGAGGCATATACCTTTGTGAAGTTTATGTATGAATAGAACCCTAAGTCAGAGGTTTGTTGGCACATTCAAAGAGAAAATTATGCATAAATGCTTGACCAACTGGATTAACTATCATGAAAATTTTAGGTAGTATTTCCTTCTGATACAGGAAAATCTGGAGGAAAAAAAAGTGTCTCCCAAGCATTACACAGCACCAGAATGATCATTCTAACCCTCCTGTTCAGTCTAAATCATAACTCATTTTTCTCTTTATTTTCTTTTCAAGAGAACTTTGGGAATTTAATGATAAACAAGGAGAACATACATCAAAATGACCTCCCCAGGTGATTTTTACTTAAAATTTACAACTAATATAACAGCATATTGTATAGCAGGGAAAGGGGCCTGACTGGTTTAATTTAATGATTTTGGGTACTTGTGCCTACCAGTGGAAGAGGTATTTTATTTTGTTTTGTTTTTGTTTTAATCCTGCTATAGCTTGTTTTATAAAATAAATTTTAAATGGATATATTTTTATCACCTTAGAGTTGCAACTGAATTAGATTCTCTTAAGGGAGGAGGCATGATTGTGGGATAAAATGAATAAATACTGTGGGTTCAGAGAACTGATTTGTGTAGTAGCTCTGCTGGCAACTGGTTTTGTACAAGTCCAGCCTGTAGGATGAGGTACTAGAACATATTATATCTACGGATTCACATCATCATGCATGT